CCCGCAGATATTTTGGTGGAGAAAATTATTATCTCGGGAACCAGAAGAGCTGTAAGACTGAAATTTCAGGAGAATGTTTTTTGAACGTGCAGGTACCTCACAAACTCAAATTTAGCTCTAAGTTATGCAGAAGTCTTACTACGACAAAGTGAGACTTTCAATGCCAGTTCAGAAGCCGGAAAACTGGAAAGTTGAAATTTTGAAGGATGTTCTCCATCCATTTTTTCAAATTCATCCTTCGTGTACCGGCACGTGAAACTTTCAGTGAGAAATTTCTCACTTTAGAAGCCAGACAGCACATCGACTACTTTTCCACACACGACGATGTAAAACATTTATATTTTTGTGGGTGAACGTCCGCTGGACAGAGCTGCGCAATACGCTTGATCGCACCGGCTGTCCTGGTGAGCGCCGCTATTTATTTTCGATTTTGCTTTTTTTTTCGCTTTTATTCATAAGCTCAAGTTTGCCTTAATTTACTTTTCTTTTTCGTGCTGTGTTATCTCTTTCTCTTTACTGCTTTTTCCACTTCTTGCCTCAAACTTCTCTTCACTGGTACGTTTGCTCCCTTCCTTATCCTGCCCCCAGTTCCTACCTCCGGAACGGCATCTGGGCACTCATCACTCACCACCCTCAACCATGCCTCACTCCTCCAACCACAATGCTCCAAACACGTAATCCAGCCAGCGACGCGGCAATTACTATAACTTGGCTCGGCTCGGTTCGGCTCGTCTCATACATGAACTGGAAAAAATTTTTTCTCCCGACAATAGGTAGGGCTGCCCCACGGCGGAGCGCGGCAGTTTGAATGTGGCAAGTAGAAAAGGGGATGGTATATGGCGGGTTTCGTTCGAGGTAGGAGAGGGAGGGGACTAGGACAGGTGGATATAAGGACGAAATGGCGTAGATCCTTTGCCGATTGACTAAGTAACGTACATTTGGAGGGGAGAGGGGAGCGGTGAAGAACGGAAAGGACGAGGAAGCGTGCTCCTGGTTTTTACCGTAAATACTTAGGGCAGGGAAAGGCAAATACTGTTTGCTTGAACAGTGATGTTATAGTAGGGATGGAGAGGGGTCTATATCTTGTTTGCTAGCAGGATTTGGGACAAGAAAAAGGCGGGGAACAAGAATGCAAGTCATTAGCTCGGGGAAAGAACTGGAGATAGCAGTGAAGAGAAAAAGACAACGCTGCACACACAAATAGACTTTTTGAAAAAAAAAACAAAAGAAAATGAGGTTTTGCAAGTGGAAACTGATCCATAAAAACCCATCATCAGTAGTACTTCCCTCTTCATGAAACTGATGCTTAGGTAAAGCTGTTCCATAAAAACTCGTCATCGGACTTTCCTATTTATAAAACTAATGCTTAGGCAAAGCTGAGGACTAATAAGTTCCATGAAGTGGGCAAAAACGAAGTAGAATGGATGCCTGGGGATGAAGTTAGCCTTTTCTCCTGTGAGATTTTGACGACAAAAAATAAAGGTATAACTACTGTGCACAGTTACAGGCTGCGAGAAGCAACAATGTGGAAATGTTTGCAGTTCTTCTGTAA